GAAAATAAGATGCACAATATTTTTTACATAAACAAAACCCAGGCAATTTTCCAAAACGACCAGCTCTTTAGCCCTCTGCCATCAAATCTCCCTTTCTGAATTGCACGATGGCAGCTCTCCCCCAGTCTAAACCACAGCGCTTGACCTCATCAACTGCAGAAGGACAACGTGGAAGTAAACTGAACATATACTTGGAAACATTATTTGGTAAGCACTTTTTTCTGGTTTCACTCTCCGATTTCAGAAATGGAAGCAAACAGACATCAGTTAAGATTTCCGAGACACGCACACATTTCGATACCAGTCAGATCACAGAAGCAGTAGGTTTAAACAAGAATGACTTAAAAATAAACCAAACCTTATCAGTTGTGTTCCATGGAAGGAACCAACGTAGACCTGGCGAGGAACACCCTTTTAAAATCAGGTAAGAGCTTGACTCCGCTCTCAAAGGCGGAACTCTCGCCAAGGCTCTTCTCCACAGAAGCGAGATCCAGCACAAAGGGGTTAAACAGAGTTAACATCACTAAACCTAGAAATATTTTTGGTATCGTGTCCCCTCCCCTTTTCCCCTGGACAGAAGGCCAGCACTGGGGACTGCAGAAAACAACTAGTCCCAAATGTTAAAGCAATTACAGTCACTAGAAATTCTTAGCTCTATAGTGAACCAGGCTGCTTTAGAAAGCATTTTAACAATTAGGAATAATATAGTACAAAGTTACTGAGAAAAAGAGATGAACTATGACCTTTTTAGACTTTGAGGTACATTAACAGTGATCGGGTTATCAGTCTCCAGACCCTGGATGCAACCAGAGTTAAATAACCATCCAACCTGTGCGACTGAATCCCACCAACGTACTTGGAAGACATCTCGTATATCCCTAACAGGCAGCTGCTTTCGACAGCGTTGCATGGGATTCAGCTTCGCCACACCGCTCCGGCGGATTCCCGGTGTCGGTGATCCCTTAGCTGGTCTGAATTGAGCAAATTTTAAAAAAAATGAGTTCAGTATAAATAATTCACAAACTGTTTTGTGCAAATTTTTTTTTATTTCCACATTTATATCACAATGTGTCCACTTAAAGGACCAAATAGCAAAGTTGCTCCCTTCTGCATCCCAAGAACACAGAAGTCTAGTTACTGTACATTCACTAAGGCTCTTTGTTTTTGCAAATTGCGTTTATGATGGATATCCATAAGGCAAACAATATCTAAAGGAATGGTAACAAGTATATTTCCAGCATACAAACAGGCTTCCTTTTTCCCTCTCACAGTACAGTTACAAACTTGTAGCACCCTCATTACATTTAGATTCTAGAAAAGGTGGTTTTTCTTTTTTTTTTTTTTTTCCTTTTTTTTTTTTCCTTTTTTTCCTAGAAGTTTGCAGGAAGGGAAAAGGAGGAAAAAATATTTGGCTGGTGGTGGTGGGATCAAAAATATCGTTAAACATCTAGTTTTTGCAGCATTTCTCAGAGACTGGATTTAAACTGAAACCAGACTAAAATATGTGGATGCCTATGGAATGTTGAGCTGAAGCTGGTCTCCCAGCCTGCAGTGCAACACCTGCTGTTTAAAACCCAATCTCCGTACCACATGACTTTAAAAAAAAAAAACGCAATCATGTTCAGAGATGTGATACAAATAAAACTACAGTTTTTGCACATTGTCTCTCGGATATCTCACTGCCAAATAAAAACCCAAATCAAGTCAAATAAATAGATGCATATTTTGTTAAGGTAACTTCCACAATTTTCTCTGTACCTGCCTGTAATAAGATTCCGGCATTCAGAAAGTGCTGGAAATCCTCTTCACTTCTTGGGGACTAACACTTTTTTATAGCTGGCTCGCTATAGAGTTTTGAACTCAATTTATCAACCTTCGTATGCCTTCCTTTGCAATTGTTAGTAAACTGGTAGCAGCATTTCACAAAAAGGAGAATTTAAAGGAAAGAGCTGTAAAGAACCAGCTCCCTCACACCCTCTGCTCGTTGGGCCTGTTTGTCCAGGACAGGAGGCTTTCTCCATCGTTAAGTGGCATAGTGTCTGCCGTTTTTGCTAACTGCAGATGTAAAAGCATTTTTAGCAAAACTGTACTCAGTCTAGGCAGACGTAAGGCAGGATGTTCAATCTACCGTCATCCCCGTGCGGATCTAAGGATATGCACTGTGTCCAATCATACCAGTTACCCTGTGTGTCGTAACAACCGTTCACGCCTGGCCAGTTATGTTCGCGTATTCTGTCGAGGTCATCGCTTGTGACCTCGCGTGTGACCCCAGGCAAGTCTGTAGGTTTGCTGTTAGGAGCTAGAACGTGAGTCTTTCTAGCCTCTTTTCTAGTGCTTTCCTCCTGCTTTAAATATTCAGACATGAAGTAGTGAGCTCCTGGAGTCTGTACTCCTGATGAAGACAGCAAGCTACTCTGTCTGTTTAAATATGACTGAATGATTTCATTTCTGGATAATTCTTTCCAGTTCGTTTGTTCAAAGGGGCTTTGCAGGTTGGGCTTTTGCTCCTGCTTTTCCGTTTCTGTCCTGTGCTGTTCAGTAAGCGCAGGGATTTCTACCTGCAAAGGATCTTTCTGTGTTAAAGGTTTTATCTGTCCTGTCATGGGATCAAAAGTGAGTTTTCTCTCTTTTAATCTCACAGGTTTCACACCCCCTTCTGTCACGTGCCCATCCAAGTTGACTGTATAGTCTCTGGGTCGGTACCTTTTCTTCTTTTTACTATCGGAACCTGAAGCAGCATCATCACTGTCCATTTTTGAAGCGTCCTGGGAAAAGCCCATGTGTGGCGTGAGAGACTCCCCAGGGTGGGCGCTGGTTTTGCAGCTGGGAGATGGGTGCTGTTGAAGTGTCCCTGCTGTGTGCCTGTGCTGGCTTTCCGAAGGTACCTGCTGCTCCTGCCAGTGCTGAGACACCTCAGTTACTGATTGCTGAGGGAACTCCAGTCTTTTCGCTGACATTGGAGGTGTTGATGGTTGCATCAAGGATGGTGGCGGTGATGGCACCTGTGCAGAATCTAAGAACTGAGACCTTTGAGATGGACTAGGCATTGAATCCTTTGGTGAGTACGTAGTATGCTGCCGAGCAAAAGTATCATGCCGAACATTTCTAGGGCTAAACGAGGAACAGCGAGGACTCTTAGGTTGGTGCGGTCCTGTGGTTTCTTCCGATTTATCATGCTGCTGAAGCACTGCAGTCTTTAATAACGAGGAAGTGCTTGACGGTTTTACAAGTCCTGGAGAACTGGTGTGAGGTTTTACAGCATTTACCGGGATCTTATTGTGTTTATCGTTTTCACTGAGTTCTGTCCTGCTGCTTTCAGGCCCTGCATGTAGATTTACGTCTACAGGACTAGGAAAATTTTCAGGACTACCTCCAATGCCATTTGTTGGAGGGGGCGAAGAGTTTTGTAATACTTCATGACTAGCTTTGGAGACTTTTGGGGGAGGAGGGCCCTGATGCCCATCCCTGTGTTCACCTTTCCTTTTCCTATTTCCCAATTTCTCTGGTTTTGGAGAATTTAGTTTCTGTATATCATTCTTTTTTTTATTCCTGCTTTTCAATTCGCTGATTGGCTTTGATCCAGCCACAGCAGGAAGTTGCGCTTCTTGTTTGCAGTTGTGAGCACCACCATTTGCTGATCCAGGTGGATTCGGCAACCCTCTTGGCACTGGTTCATTCTGGGTTACGGGTTCTATCAACTTTTGCCAATTCCGCAACAATTTCTTGGCACGTTTGGCAAGTTCCTCATTGGATGTCTTCTTCCTCACCTCATTGATAAGCCTCCCAAGTCTCGTTTCCTATAAAGAAAGAAAAGTTGTTTTACAAACCGGTATCATTCTAAACAAAACTCTTAAGGCAAATTTCTGCTTTGTAATGCTTACGCTAAGAAATGCCTAGTGAAAAACCACGAAAGGTTGAAGTGTTGAATTAATCTTTTTGGAAAGGATTAGTCCAGTTGGTCCAGTGCTCTGCCATGCAACATGAAACCTGCCGTAGGTTTCAAGTCACCCTGTCTTTATTCCCTGGCTAAAGCACCAGAGCCATGAGCTGCGAAAAACATCAGAAAGGAATTCTTCAATCAGCACGAATCTTGAGAATAAAGGTGCAAGCTCAGATTCGAGGGGAAACGCAGCACCCAAGGCAGAAAAAGGTGTGTGTTTATCACAATGAAAGTGTAAGATCTGCAGAAAAAGGCAAGGGGAAAAAAAGTCCCAGAATCTTCGTCTGTTACAGTAATACGTTGACAATAAAAATCTCTGTTTCACAAACCTGACTAGCCAGGTGCGGCTCATGTCCTACCTTCTTCCTCCATCTCTCCTCTCCCTTCACTCCCAAGTATCTCGAAAGGGTACGAAAGACCGTTTTAAACAAGCATTCCTATAGTGTCCCAAAGTGATTTCATAAGTGGAAGGAAGTGAAGTGTTTGATTGTTCCCAAAGCACATTTGAAAACAAAGAATTGTTCCACAAGTCAGATTACTTAAGAAAAGCACTTCAAAGGAAAACATAGACCAGACCGTGAGAGAAATACGCAACGTGTTGCGATATGTATGTTGAAATGTAGCTGAAGTTGTAGTTAAGCAATAGTTAAAAATAAGTAACACCAATAATTTCAATATAAAGACTGAAAAAAGTTTTATAATTTAGCCATAAAAACTTCTTTGGGCTCTGTTCCTAACGTGGTCAGTGAGGCTGCAGCTGTGTCCTACCTCATGCTGCAGCTTTTACCACACCTTATCTCACCAACCACATCGGGCGTCGAAACCTGCTTAACTGAATTTAAGATTAATTTTACAGACGCAGAGTAACGATATTCCCATTTCAGATTCTTTGGTGCTTGGCCACCAAACACCTAAAAAGGTGACCCGTACTTCAGCAAGCAGAGCGATGTCGCAGAATACAACAGAATTAATCAGCAGCAAGTAACGATCAGTTTAGTGCCCCACACAAACAGGAACTGTGCTGTGCAGAATACTGATCTGAATCCAGAAAGAATCACTGTGAGTGCATTGAGATGTCAGAAGCAGCACGAGAGGGACAAAATAATATCTTAATTGTGAATCCTTTGCAATCAATCTATTGTTTCAAGAAAAGCTCTTATGGAAATTAGATAGGCAGAGAATGTCCTTTCATACACACAAAAATCAAGCGATGTTCAGAGGGTGACATACCTCAAGTGCCTCTTTGGTAATGGGATATTTCTCCAGGCTGGAGATCACTTCCAGCACTGCCACCATGTTATGGATCTGCAAGAAGGAAGACAAAGTCACTTCATGTTTCATGCACAGGTCTTAGTTATCAAATGTAATTTAAGACCTTCCACTTTATAATTGCTGGAAGTATTAATCACAAAATTGCTGTCACACTGTCTGGCTTTAGGGAGCTGATTGTTCGAAGAATAGGGACAAGGACACTTTACTGACCTAGTTGAAAACTGCAGGAGCTGTGACAAACATGCTCTTATGTAAAACTAAAGGAAACATTAGTAATAAAACCAGCGTGACTTAGTAGCAAAGTTCTGAGACCCGTAGCCAAGGCATTAGCTAATTGTCCTACAGCCTAACTGGGAAGAAGCTGTGGCTGCCCCATCCTTGGAGGTGTTCAAGGCCAGGCTGGACAGGGCTTGGAGCAACCTGGGCTGGTGGGAGGTGTCCCTGCCCCGGGCAGGGGGTGGCACTGGGTGACCTTCAAGATCCCTTTAAACTCAAACCATTCTACGGTTCTATTAAACGTAAGTGCCAAATGGACCAAGAAAAGCAACGAGTCAAATTGGAAATCCTGCATTTATTCCTTTAAGCACTGCTTTAGATTTACACAAGTCACCGTTCTACAGTTTTGTTCATAACATATTGATGCTTCCTGTAGCTGCACACCAAGAGTCTAAAAACCCAGGTATAAACTCCTCCGAGCATGAAAGCAGAGCTGAAGCAAGCGCTGTGCCCAGTAGGTGTCCTCAGACCATCGCCCAGCACCGCGGGGACCAGGCGAAGCGGCCGCCTTCCAAACTGCATTTCCGAGAAGGGAGATGGTGCGGAGTTACTGCACAAATTCACATCGCATTAGCAAAGCGCGGAGCAGATTTTCTGATGGGCTTCACCGCAGCGTTTCTGCACGCGTGAGTAAGCGCCACACAAAAGCCGTTCCCACAATCTGCAGATGTTAAGCACAAGTGCGCTTTTAATAATTTCTATGAGAAACCCCAGACTACGTAGAGATCCGCATTTCCATTACCTGATGTTAAAAGCACCAAAACCTGGAATTTCTAATTCACCTTTGTAGATAGATTTAAAAGATAAGCAAAGGAAAACTTGAATCGCAGTGTCATTTATTGCTTAATTGCATTTGTGACTCAACTGGACAAGAACTGCATCTGAGAAAAATCTCGCAGCGAGAACCTCTACAGGGATTCCATGTTCTCCTGAAGTCTTATCAGAGCCATAATCGGGTAGCCCTGCCCTGCCAGCCGCACACTCCGCTGCGAGATTCTTCATTCTAACAAGACTGCAAATTTGTAAGAATTAGCTTTTTCAAGTCAATTCTACCCTTCTGTTAAGATACAGCAGAATCGGGAGCTGAAGTCTCTTCCTTTCAGAAAATCTTATGCATAGACAATGTCTTTTCCATCACAGCAGCACAGCATCATGTTGGGGATACTTGGATAAAGCTGGCAGCAATGAAACACTTTGCCTGATTTTTAGATCTGCTTTTATAAACTTATGTTTAAAGTCTATATGGGCTTTGAATGATTACAACTCTTACAGGTTATAAAACCGACTTCAGACCAAAGATGAACTAATTTGTCAAGGGCTTCTCTTCACTGAACTACAATGCCTCCACAGATATTTAAAGCCCCTCCGCAGGTATTTAAAGCCCCACCACCCCATCAGGTCTGGTAAAATTCCGCTTAAGCTTTAAAGTGGCAACAGCAAGTATTTTGACATATTTTAGTTCTTACTATTTCACTACAGTGCACTGACGTTCTTACCTGTTGTGATCCTTGCACTGCCCTCAGTGCCCAGGAAGGATAATTTGGCACCACAGTTTAAGTAACACAGAACACCAGGGTTGGTTGGGGTTCCCCCCCCCCCCCAGTTTCTAGAACCAGAGCATTTAGAATAGCTAATGCTCAATTCTGGGAGTTTCCAGACAAACATTTTTAGACTTGCAAAACATGATACTCTCCTTCCCAACACATATTTGAGACTATGAATTACCAGCGTGCAAAAAGGCTCTGTGTATTGCACACACCAATAATTGGTACAATTATTTTTGCAGTTACTGGTAATCCCCAAATATTTGTTATCTAAATGACAAACCAATGGCAAAAAAGGATCCTCAGTCTATCAAAAGGTCAAGACGTGCAAAGTGATACGCTCATGTATATACACACCTACAGGGAATTTCCAGTAACAGCTTTGCCTTTGGTTCAATATCCCCAAATACACATCTGTGGATGCCCCCGAACGCTAAATCACGTACCGGGAAGCGGGTCTACACCAGGACTGACAGACCGCTACTTCATTCCCTCCTTTGAGGGACACATGGTGCCAATTAGAGGCAGCGAAAGCAGCCTTGCACGGCTGAGCCTGTGCTGATCACTCAACTTCTGGTAACACACAAAACACCCATTTCAGATTCTTCACACATTTGTATCCAATTGAAAACATGCTGTTGCTCTGAAGCAATTGCTGCAAGGAGCATGAAGGCTCACGCTCGGATCAACTGCAAGAAGCTCCTCTCTTTTTCCCTTCTTTCTGACCTGCAGGGAAGCGTTGTTCTTGAAAAAATAGAATAATAAATTGTTCAGGCAGGTTCAACAACTGCTCCACCCTTCCCCAGGAGTTTTGTGTAGTCTTCTTGGAATGCTTCACCCAAACTGCCGTAAAGAGAAGCTTAAAATAAAAATCATATTCACCTATTTCAAAATAATATAGACTTACGAAATTTCTTGTGGTATAGTTAAACACTATGATGAAAACAAGATGATGTCCCCAAAATGCCTCAAGTATTATCTATCCAATGTGAAGACACCTACTTTGATAACAGCAGCACACTAGTATCGCACACCAGTATCTTTACCTTAAACCATCTGTTACTGGCTTAAAAGAATTAACATATTGTCACATAACTGTCATGAGACTGAAGTTACAAAACCTACCAAGGCATCACCCTACCTTGAGCAGCACCAGAAATGACAATTTATTAATGCAAGCCGCTATTAAAAATGCTGGCTGGCCACACGGCAGATAGGCATAGTAACATAAAGCAGAGCAAGACAGGGGAGCCGGGGAGCACTGCTCTCAGGCGCTGGGCAAGAGTACAATTGCCTAAGTCAGCGTCCCGGGAACCTGCACATCCTTTTGGTTTCTATTTGCCTTTGCCTACTTACGCTGCAACCCGTTACTACCACCCAAAACAAGAACTTCCATGGAGCAACCCCAGGACCTCGCAGAAAACAGCTAAGAATAATTTATAAGGCATTTCAAATTATCCCATGCTATTCCTGTGTTGCGAAGATCGACTGGCACACAGACTAATTCACTCGAAAGTTTACTGGAGAACATCTGCTTTGAGTCATCTACGATAATCCTTTCCAGCCAACCCTAATGACAGTCACAAAAACCAAATCTTATTTATTCCATGCAAGTCTCCTTAAGTCATTCAGCCATACTCTGGAGCTTACTACCGGTATCTGAGATCTCTTCCAAGTTAAGCACTAAATGTTTTTATTACAGCCTCAGACAAAAGCATGGGTTTCTGAACTCTCTGGAAAAGATCAAGCAGCTTAATTTCCCTTTTTTAACTGCCATCTTAATCCTATTTTAGCTTTTATAAATGGAGAACAATTCAGTAACTAACTTCAGGGTAAGTGTTACACAGCAGTTTAAAAGGATAAAAAGTGTGTTTGGGTTTGGGAAGTTTAATGTACAGCTGCTCTCTGCCACCTCCAGTTCCGCTGCCTCCTTCCCGGGCAGACTGCAGAACAGCAGCAAACTCAGCACCCGCGCGGGAGCTGGCATCACTGTTCCCAGGTGCCAGGGGGGCGGAAGGGCTCGGATGTGTTTATGTTGGACTGGCACACTCAGCTGTTATGCTATGCTTTGCTTCGCTTCCTCCATCTACGGACCAGTCCAGAGACAAAACACAACAGGAGTACCAGTGGAACACCTTTCTTGCTTCCACGGGACTGCCTCGATACACCGCACAGCCTGCATCTCCCTCCACCGCTGCCTCAGAAACAGATGTTACAGAAACATTCGTTTGACTAAAGCAATTTTGGTTGGGGTTTTTATTTGTGTTTGGTTTTTTTTGGTTTTTTTTTGTTTGGTTTTTTTTTGTTTGTTTTTTTTTAATAAATGTTTCACAGGGATGTTTTCTAAAGATCTTTGCGTGTATGACCAGACCATGATAGGTGACAAACCAGATCTGAGTTAGCAAGCATGATGCTGCTGAGACAATTAGTTCTACAGGCCTGGAGTAGGAGGAGGTATTTTCTTTAACACAAAACCCGAGAGCTAGGTGCACAATTACAAAAAAATTGCAGTGAAACTGTTAATCCAGATTCCCATCCTACCGGATTCTGGCTAGAAAGGTTCTTTTTAATTACTTGCATAAAGTTTACCTACAAGCACTAAAAGGCATCTTTTGGCAGAGTATCATCATCCACATGGGTCACGTTAGTACCTGTAGGAGTTTCTAACAGGTATCTGCACTGGGTCTGGCACGTCTACAGTCCCTCGTCACTGAAACTTTTCCAAACCCGAAGTGTAACACTATTGTCCTCCTGAAATCACAGGTTGTAATAATGGACCATCCGACTCCACTGTAAGCATTTTGAAACAGACTACACAGATATACCAGAAGACACTGGCTTTGAGAACGTATTTGCCATCATACTTCAGTTTCCTCAGAATATGCTAAAAATACTCAATATTTTGCTAGTTTCACAGAAAATACTTTTCTCACCTGTAGCATTAAAGCAATTTCACGAGAGCAAGCAGAGAAGTGGACCCACTGCGGAAGACTAAACAGATCGTTTTCTCTTTCCTACAGATACAAATGCAGATCTCTATTGCCATGTTGCCGTTCTCTGTTGGCAGTGAGTATCAGAAACACAGTGTGGTCTATGCAGAAGTCCACAGGAGCATTTGTACCATTTTTTATTGTCTTCCCCCACTCTGAGAGACAGCAGCATTTTATTGGGTAGTTATAGAAACTGCCATATATCTATGGGCCATCTATGTCCTTCGGTAGTACAAGATAATATTTAAGAAAATCCCGG